ACTTATACGAAGAAATGTTCAATTCAAAGATGGATCAACATAATAGCTGGGTTCCGCATGTCATTTGCAACATGTGCAAAAAGATGTTGTATCGATGGAAGGCGAACAAAAATAAAGAGAACATCAAATTCATCACTCCAGCAATTTGGAGAAAACCTAGTAGTGCAGAGGACTGTTACTTTTGCTTAAATGATATTAAAGGCATCAACATAAAAAACAAACAAAAAATTGTGTATAACAATGCTCCATCAATGACGGCTCCTGTTATAGTTGATCAAGTTAAATGCCAATCCAATATTGATCGTGTTACTGAAGGTATCGAATCCGGAGAACTAGATAATGAAAGTGATTTTTCGAGCGACGACAACAATAGCAGGGACTCAGAGTACACGTCAAATGAAAAAGTACCTTCAATTCCTTCATTGGTATTTCAGTTTGAGTTAAATGATCTCGTTAGAGATTTAGGTTTGCCAAAAGAAGGTTCTGAGCTTTTGGCTTCATTTCTGAAAAAGAAAAATGTTCTAGAACCTAAAACAAAAGTTTCCACTTATAGAGACCGAGACTTCGAATTCCGTAAATTTTTTACGAAGGAGAAAGATTCATCTTTAGTATTTTGTACCAATGTCGAGGGTCTCATAAATCAGCTAAAAGAGAATTCTTACAAAGCTTCTGATTGGCGACTCTTTATAGACTCTTCGAAACGAAGTATAAAGGCGGTATTACTTCACAACACGAACGTTTATGCTCCTGTACCGATTGCTCATTCTACTGTCATGAAAGAGAAATATGAGAATATGCAAACACTTTTACAGAAAATTCAATATGAAAAGCATTTATGGCTAATATGCGGAGATTTGAAAATAATAACCATGCTGCTTGGACAACAGTCAGGATTCACTAAATATCCTTGCTATTTGTGTTTGTGGGATAGTAGAAATAGAGAAAATCACTACAGCAAGACGAAACAATGGCCAGTAAGATCATCGCTAACTCCAGGTTCTAATAACATCATCAATGAGTCTCTTGTGGATCCATCGAAAATTCTCATTCCTCCGTTGCATATAAAGCTTGGTCTCATGAAACAATTCGTCAAAGCCCTTGATAAATCAGGGGCATGTTTTCAATACCTTCAATCCAAATTTCCAAACTTTCTGAGGCTAAGTTGAAAGAAGGAGTATTCGACGGACCACAAATTCGAAGTATGTTCAAAGATATAAATTTCATTCGTACAATGAATCGACTTGAGAAAGCAGCCTGGCTTAGTTTTAAAGATGTGGCACAGAACTTTTTAGGAAATAACAAAAGTCCGAAGTATAAAAAGATTGTTGGCAAAATGGTTGAAGATTTTAGAAAGCTAGGATGCCTGATGAATTTGAAATTACATTTTTTGCATGCACATCTAGACAAATTTCCAAATAATCTAGGTGATTTTAGTGAAGAGCAAGGTGAACGCTTTCACCAAGATATAAAAGTCATGGAAACTCGATATCAAGGAAGGTGGGATGAAAATATGATGGCAGATTTCTGTTGGATGTTGAAGCGAGATACACCGAAAGAAGATAGAAAGCGTAAATCACTGCATAGATCTTTTGATGAGAAAAGAACCCGCTATAGTAGCAAACAAGAGTCTGCTATTTGATTTATGCGTCTGGTTTTTAGATCGTCTATTCCAATCGATTAATTTTTGAGTTCGTATACTTAAGTCATTCGATTCCTATTGTAGTCATATAACTAGTTATTTATTCTAGTAGTTAAGAATTCTACACATCATTTTTAATATTGTAGATGTATACAATTCATTTATCTAATCATTTATTTATTCTTGGTAATCATTCCACAAATTCAAATTTTTGTTGCTAAAAGCCCTTATAAGGGCTATATGATGTACAAAATCCGATCGTGCAACCTCCTCGCGGTGTACATCGGGTAGCGCTGATGCCGACAGTCCTATATAACTTTGTTTTGTGGAGTAAATAGGGTTTATGGGTTGAACTGATTTTTGTTCAATATACGGCTGAAGTCAAAACGTTGAAGCGTTAAATAGCCTAGATAACGGGATATTTTAAAGGTTACGTCAACAACCTGACATGCTGGGATTTTTTGAACGACGGATTCGGATTCAGTGACTCCAAAAACATATGGTAAACATGATCTGAGCCCAGAACTCGGAAAAGAAAAATTTTATCAAGTTTTTGAGGTTATGTCGTAACCCTGACATTCTGGAGTTTTTTAGACCTCGGATTCAGATTCAGCGACCCCGAAAACATATAATAAACATGGTCTGACCCCCGGACTCGAATATAATTTTGTATGAGGTTTTTTGAGGTTATGTCAGAACCTTGACGTGCTGGGGTTTTTTGGACCTCGGATTCGGATTCAGCGACCCCGAAAACATATAGTAAACATGGTCTGACCTCCAGACCCGAAAAAATATTTTTTTTTGTGTGGCTGTGTAATCAATTCATAATTGTTTTAGACAATGTTAACCTGTAATATTTGCGAAATTAAATTATGTTCTTCAAAAAAATATAACACTCATCTTCAATTGCATAGAAATACACCAGGAGCAGTGTTTACGTGTCTATATCGGAACTGTACACTGTAAAAAGGATTATGGTAAATTTCCAACAAAAAACGTAGGTTATTTGTTGCCATCAATGTACATGGTAAAACTTCATCTCAACTGGGGATTTACACGCTGGTGTAAAATTACTGTAAAATTAGTGCTGTATTATTTCATTATATATTTTGTAATGTTGTACTAAAATTCCATTGTATTAAATGTATTTTTCCATCAAAGTACATGGTAAAACTACATATGAACTTGAATTTTACATGCTCTTTTTAAAATTATTGTAAAAATAGTTCTGTATTATTACATTATATTAAATGTAACTTTGTGCTATAATTCCATATTTTTATGTGTTTTTCCATCAAAGTACACGGTAAAACTACATATGAACTTGAATTTTACATGCTCTTTTTAAAATTATTGTAAAAATAGTGCTGTATTATTACATTATTTTATATGTAATTTTGTACTAAAATTCCATTTCATTTAATGTATTCTTCATATACCAATCCACATATATATATATATATATATTGCATTACTCCAATTATTATTATTATTATAATAATAATTGAAGTGATGCAATATATATGTGGATTGGTATATAAAGAATACATTAAATGAAATGGAATTTTAGTACAAAATTACATATAAGATAATAATGTAATAATACAGCACTCTTTTTACAATAATTTTAAAAAGAGCATGTCAAATTCAAGTTTATATGTATTTAATACATTTATAAACTTTATACTGCCCTATATTTCCTAATTCAGAACAAGGGATAAAGTTTATTTTATCAAATTGTGTAATGCAATATAAATGTTGATGAGTATATTAAAGCTAACTTAATTTTACTTGTATTCAACAAAAAATCATTCACTGTAAAAAAGCTTTAGGCAAGATCTTTTTAATTATAAGCAATTTATAGTTAAACAAATTTTAGGATAATTGCCTTGTCTCTAAAAATAAATAAATATAAAATTAAATACAGCAAATGAAATTTGAATTTTAACAAGAGGATAGAAAAAATTGTCAAAAAAAGGTATTTTTTAATAGAAACACAATTTTTAAAATAAAATAAATTTATTACAAAATAATAAACAACATGCATACATATACATACATACATATATATTTTTTAAATGTTTAAGCATAAAATTATAATACATAATAATTGAAGAGGTTAGTTAGTTATTAATTAATAAGTATTAAGAAATAAAAGTTAATACATGTGTGCTTAGAACGAAAATACCACTAAGCTCTTCAATTATTGGCAATAATAAAATAAAATAAAACTTTTTTTAATTTGAAAGGTAAACATTATTAAAATAAATATAAATACATTATACCGAGTGAGTTTTTTAAATTGTTACAAGGGGATATTTCGAAAACGGTTTAAAAAAAAATTTGTAATATTTTGGTAAGGGGGGGACATATTTAAACATGTTTTTAACACCTACCCCCTTTCCCTATTTTGAGGGGCAGGGGGTAACTTTGGTTTTTTAATAGGTATATATATATATATATATATTTTTAAATTCGAATCTACGAAAAATCTAGGTATATATAACATATATGTTTGCAAAACAATTTTTGATTTGCGCTTTCGGTTACTGAATTAAGATTAATTAGGTTATAGGATACTATAAAATATTATAATATTTTAACAATTTAATTTCAACTATTTTATCGTCTGTCAAATTTTTAAAAATGTCCCCCTTTAACTTTCTTACCCTTTTTTTAAATGAATTTCGTACAATTGATAAATAAATTAAAATTATTTTTTAATATTTCATAATTTAATAAATCATAATTCCGTAAGCGAAAGCCCAAAACAATTTTTATTGCACACATACCTACTTTTTAACATAGATTCGCCCCTCAAAATAGGGAATGTCAAAAATATGTTTAAAAATGTCTATTGGTTTACCAAAATTTAACAAAAAATGTTTGAAATATACACTTTAAAAAACTCTCCCGGTATAACTAAAATAACTATACTATTACTATATATGTCTATTAAAATAAAAGTTTTTAAAAACCCCAAATGTTTATGAAAATAAAAAAACATATTCTGATAAAAAAAATGAACATTTTTGTTATAGAAGTTTTAAAACATTTATATTTTAGATATCTTATTTATTAAATTTATAACTTTCTTTTTAGTTGAAGAAATTTTCTTACATTTTCCTCCAGCATCTGGATGTATTTTATAAAAATACCTTTGAATGAACTCCAAAGTACAAGATAATTTTTGGGGATATTTTAAATTAAAATTAAAATATAATCCAAAACAAGTTTTAAAAGCTTCAAAGAATGTGGAATAATATTTCGTCGATATGAGTTTTTTTTCTAACATTATATACCATTTGCATTGACCAGCTGTATCTAAAACCAAAAAACAATCATTAAAAAATCAACGTTTTTATGTTACCTTACTTATTTCCATAATGCATGGCTCAAAACAGGGTATTAGATCCATAAAATTGTCATCTTCATCCGGTTGTTCCGGTATATTCTAAAAAATAAAATCATTATTACTCATAAAAATAAAAAAGCAATATTTACCACTTACATTGCATTTAAAAATAAATGAGGATAGTTCTTCTTTAAAATGACTTGAGGCTACATAAAGAGCTTGTATTATATCTTCTTTATTGTCATCATTAATATGCTCTGTCTCTGGCGACTTTTTTAATTTTAAAACTTTTTGACATTTATTTTTAAAATCCAAGTCTGTACATTCGGCCCCTGTTAATTTGTGGAAGTGCCAAATTATTGCTTCAGTCTTAAAAAGTACTGGCCATTCATTTTTAATAGTCGACATGGTTGGAGGATTAGGAGAATTTAAAAATGTTCTTTGATCATAATATGTCTGGTCCAAGTACTCAAAAAAATTTGGATCAGTTTCATCTATTGAAAAAAGTAATTTCTTAATATGGGGAATGTCAACGGATTTATTACTTTCCGGCGGCTGCCAGTTAGAGCAACCAGCCCTGCTGCCTGCCATTTTTTTTAAATGTTGTGGGGGCAACTTTGTGCCAGGTCTTTTTTTGCACCTGTTTAAATAATTACATCGATCTTGCAATCGACAAACGGTACTGTGTGTTCCATTGCCCAAAACTGTACCGTCTTCGTCCTTGTCCAAAAATATTAATGGAAATTTATCCGCCATTTTTCTGGCCACACATCGATATGCCATGTTGGGTATTTGGGTTTTTACACTTCTCATTTCATTTAAAATAGTATGTATTACTTCCACAGTTATTTGTCTTTCAGCTTTTCCACTTTCTAAAGAATTTATCATATATTCGGGAAATTTAGCCCAGGGTATTTCAAAATTTTGCCAAAAAGACTCAGAAACTAATGGTTTTTCATTAGATATGACATATAGCAATGAGTTATTAAAATCCACTTGTTCATTTTCTTTATTTGAATCGCATTCAATTACATCTATTGGTAAATTATTAATAATTATAGAATCTGAACAGGTATTACCCTGCAAAGTTGAAGTTGAAGTATTAGTCGAATTTGATTCTGTTTCTGATATATCCGAAACAGCCATTGGTATCCAATTTTCCCCTTCTTCCAATAGTATAAGACATTCATCCTTTAGGATAAGTAACACTTCATTCTCTATTATTTCTGTCCCATCTTTTTCCAACACCAATTTTGAACCATTAATGTTTAATTTTTGGGAAGCTAAAATATTTAATAAATAATAATGTATAATTTATTTATAATAAATATAACCTTTTATTATTACACTCAGAAGTAATAAATGTTCTTCTTCTTCTTGAATTAGGACAAATTTCTTATTGTCTCGATTCCTTGACCATATTTTAAATAACATCATTTTTAATAATCTACCTTCTTCTAAAATAAGTAGTTTTTGTTTAGGTCAATATACTTATATAAGGGGCATAACTTTGATTACAATTTTCTTTAAAATAGAGCTTGACAAAAAACTAGTCCAATAATAAAACAATAAACAATATAGAACAATAAAACTTTTTTAAAGAATTAAATACCTACAAGATAAAATTTAAAAAAAATATTTTTCGAAATAAACAATAATGACTTAATAATTTAACAGTTTTAATATTATTAAATCCCATCGATGGCTGTACCTATGATAAATTAATTTATGGTATACATTACATATATTCCAAGGAAGCACACTTAAAATAAAATAAATCTTTCCCATTAATTTTACAGTGTATTAAGGGTTCAGTGTTTATAATTTTATTAAAATCAGCTGAAATATAGTTTTCAGTTGATTCATTTATTGAATAAAGACCAGAATTTAAATCTTCAGAAATAGTTTTTCCATAACCACAAAAGTTAATTTTTTTAAATGAGCTATTCAATAATATATACTGTATATGACATATCAAATATTGATGAGTATCCTCGTCTTTTTTAATACAAATATACATTCCTTTTGAATATGTTATACTTCTATATGTAACAGACTCGGAAATATATATCATTTCATTAATAAAAGAACAATTATCTTTTATCGAATCAAATATATTTTTTGGGTAATTATTTTTTGAAAAAATTGTTGCATTGGAAATTGCCTTTTCATCAAAATATTGATTCTGAGTCATTAATAAACCTTGCAGCAATTGGTGTTTTTCTGAAAGAAATTTTAAAGGGTTTTTAAAGTTTGGGCTGTGTCTGATACAATTTTTAAAGTAGGAGTGTTTTGACTCAAATCTCATGGTCCATAAATGACGCAAGGGCCCAAAAATTCTTATAAGATAAGGATAATGTTGCAAGTAATGATGTTTGGGCTTTAAAGGAATCATAGGAAATAGGGTTTTTCTTAGTTCAAGATAATCACCAATTAAATTTTTTAAAATAGCTATCTGATCTATAGATAACTTAAAACACATAACAATATTGACAATTTTTCTAAGAATTAGAATTAACTGCCAATACTTATTATCTGCTAAAAAAATAATTTTTGTATATAATGCAAATGGAATAATATTTAAAATGTATAAAATGTGAGAAGCTGTTCCTGAAAGTTTATCTACTTTTTTAAACATTGGAATGTTTTTTTTATTAAACCCTTTAGAAAACCCCAAACTTTGAAACTGTTTATTTAGGAAGTCAAAGGAAAATTGTTTTGTATGTACAAGCATTTTTAGTACTAGAGCTAAATCGTATTGAATAATTCCTTCAAAAAGATCATGAGCTAAACACGGAGGAAGTCCTGGCTTGCATACATGAAAGAATTTTAAAGTATTTAATATTGAATCTGATTTCACTCCTCTACATATTTGATTTGTTGTCGTTGCTAAATCAACATCCCTTTGGTAAGAATTGACATTTCGATGTTCAATATGAAGTGTGCCTTTTCCATCATATTTATTAAAATCACTTATATGGCAATATCGGCAAAAAAATGTATTGGTGGAAAAACTTTCTACAAATCCACCAATCTGATGACTACCTAAATTATCTCCTAAAACTGCAACTAGAGAGCCCTTAAATTTTATGTTATTTTGAATGGTTATTCCATGTAATTCAATATGCTTAATATCATTAATAATGACCTTTAACACTTGTGAAAAGCCAAATAATTTAATGTCTTTTTCATAACATAATGCTACTAATTGAATTTGTTCGGTTTTTGAGCGGTGCCAAGGAGGAATGTTTGCAAGAGTCATATAAATTCCTACAATTTTATGTTTTACCCTTGCAGCACCTATGGGATTGCAAATTTCAAATGCGTCTTGGTAAAGAATAATTTTTAAATTTTGACTATTGGAAAAAAATGTACACTCTTTGCAACATTTACCATCAGTAATATCGGAAAAAACATTGTTTTTTGAAACTGGATTTGAAAGACAAAAGTTTAAAACATTATTATTATTTAAAAGATTTTTTAATGTATTTATGATAGAAACATAGTAAAAAAATGAATTATTATTCTTATTATCGCTTAATGGGATTTGAACTGAAGAAACATAATTGAAATTTTTTGAGTAAAATTTTTTTCTATTCCAATTAGAATTAAATAGGCCCTTATCGCTAGCAAATGATTCTTGAAAAATATCTCCTATATTATTAGTAGAAAAAGTTACACCCTGATTATTTAATTCTTCAAAAATAATTTGTTTATTTAAACAGCCTATATCATTTAAACTACTTACTATAGTTTCAATAGCTTTTAAACTAACAAAATGTTGTGCTTCGAGTGTAATTAATAAATGAGACAATAATCTAATTCCAGTTTCTTTGTTGTCTATATTATTTTTTAAATTGTCGACATTACCGTCAATATTGTCGACATTACTATCACTATTGTCCACATTACTATCACTATTTTCCACATTACTGTCAATATTTTCATCGCAAGATAACTCAAAAATATTATTAGTATTTAAAACATTTTGATCTGTATTATTGTGTCTTCTAAAAAAATGCATTTTTATACTACCTATTGTTTTATAGGTTACACTACTTTTACAAATATTTGAAAAGGGACATTTTAAAAATTCACTTTTGAGGATATGCTTATAAATATGCACTCTTATATTCTTATTGTCATTGGTTTCATAAAAGCAATCTTTAAGTGAACACATAACCTTACAATATTCTTTATTTGCTTGATTAAAACTTAACTTTGCATGACTTCTTAAGGTGTGTGATTTAAAGGCAGAATACTTATTAAATCGCATGCAGCATTCAATGCATTGAAAAGAAATTTTCTTTGCATTTCTATGATAAAAAAGATGATTATTGTATTGTTTTATATTGCTGCATTTAAAACCACAAAAACTACAATTATACATGTTTATAAAGTTAAAATAAAGAAAACTTACCTTAAAATTTAATAGACAAAACAAACCACACCGTACCTATATTATAAGCACAAATTAACGTGTAATAAAAGTCACTTTTTTATCTTTAAACCGGCACAACTAACATCGACACACGCTTCGAAAAGCAGATATGGAGGCTATAACCAGAATGATCTAGTGCATCACTTCTATACTTGAGGGGGGTGGTTCTGAGATTTACACAATTTGTCAGTGTAATTTTGTAGTAAAAATACATTACCTTTACATAAAATGGTAAAAACGTTGTAAATTCAAGGAAATGATGTAGTTAATACGGAAAATCACATTTATTTTTGTAATTTTATTGTAAAATCAAGTTTTTACCATATAATTACATCAGATTGTAAAATTCCAATACTTATGTAAAATATTACATCAAATTTACAGTGTTTTAACTGGGAATTCTATGTAAATTTACCCCTAATTTTTACAGTGTAGATGTGTTCTTAAAAACTACAACCGTTTTAAAACTCACTTATATATTTATAGATAAAGTTAAATAAAATATTATGTACCTAAAAACAGTTTATTACTTCTTAATCATAATAAAAACAATAATATTTAGTAATAAAAAATACATGTAGTTTTTGCAGGTAAGTAAATATCAATCAATAATAACTATGAATTTTACTTTGTAAATTTAATTATATGGGTGTAAAATTACAATGTAATTTTAATACTGTTTTGTAAAATTACTTTGTTGTTGCAAATTTACTGGATTATCGATGGTCACCAGTCGCCATCAATAATCGTGGTAAATTTACATAATTTTTTTTTTGAGTGTACTCCGAACTCAGTACAAAATCAGAACACATTGAGAAGTTGACTAAAAGCGCGACGCAAGCAATTCTTAAGCACGAAGAAATGTGGTCCTGCATCGAAGGGATCAAAACGGACGAAAAAATGGCAAAAGCACGACCGGAAATTATACTGCCCGTATACAGATAGAGACAAAGATACAGACAGATAGAGACAAAGTTGCTACAAGAAGTAAAGTTGGAACAAGGAGATAAAATTTCCTCCGGAAACTCCGCCTTTTGCTTGAACCGCCACGGAAAGGAGACTCCTTAGATCCATCAGCAGAAAAGGTATGTGCTAATGCACATAAGCTTAATAGCTTAGCACAGCATAAGTAGATTCAAAAATTCACACTGCTGGAGTAATGTAAGTTAGTCAGTGAATATTTTATCTGTAGGCAAAATTGTAGAAAAGGGTTAAGCAGAATCCAACAAGAAAAATGCAAGAACATGACACAAAATACTAGGCATTGCCTAGTAGGCAATCGACAGGCTGATCGACAGAAAAACAGATAAAATATTCATCAGCAGAGACGTTGTTTGGCTAGAAAACAGTGATAACGAGGGTAAAAGTATCGACAATCATAAAATTGTTTATAATATAGATAGTTATTATGTAAAAAATCTAAACCTTTTTTAACAAGCTGTGAATTTAAATTTCCTTCTTTCGAAAAAAAAATACTTCCGCGGCTTAGGGCCTTCTGCCCTTAAACAATTGATATAATGATATCCATTAAACCGCCCTGCCTAACAACGGAAATAATAACCTTATTATTTCCGTAGTTAGGTATTAGTGATTATCTGATTTTATTATCACGGTGATTTGGACAAATCAGACTCTGTTTTTTTCAGTTTAGTTACAACATAATATGTTATATGTTTAATTTTTGCAATTTATAGGCGGATAACGTCTTTTTGTTTATATTGTTGTTTAGTGCTTACTTCGCCATGGAGGAAGCGACTACAGAGCAACGTGTTTTGGTGCAAATGTGCAATTCAAAAATTCTAAAAAAGGCTCTGTATCGCGCTTATAGCTATTATATAAAAAATAACGTCTGCTTGTCTTGGAAACAATAATTTAAAATAAACCATTTGCCATTGCCACACAGGGTAAATTAAAAATATAATTTTATAAACTTGTATAGAAATGGTAAATCAGTTAGTCAAATATTCATCAGCAGAGACGTTGTTTGGCTAGAAAACAGTGATAACGCGGGTAAAAGTATCGACAATCATAAAATTGTTTATAATATAGATAGTTATTATGTAAAAAATCTAAACCTTTTTTAACAAGCTGTGAATTTAAATTTCCTTCTTTCGAAAAAAAAAATACTTCTGCGGCTTAGGGCCTTCTGCCCTTAAACAATTGATATAATGATAACCATTATACCTCCCTGCCTAACAACGGAAATAATAAACTTATTATTTCCGTAGTTAGGTATTAGTGATTAGCTGATTTTATTATTACGGTGATTTGGACAAATCAGACTCTGTTTTTTTTTTTCATTTTAGTTACAAAATATATGTTTAATTTTTGCAATTTATAGGCTGATAACGTCTTTTTGTTTATATTGTTGTTTAGTGCTTACTTCGCCATGGAGGAAGCGACTACAGAGCAACGTGTTTTGGTGCAAATGTGCAATTCAAAAATTCTAAAAAAGGCTCTGTATCGCGCTTATAGCTATTATATAAAAAATAACGTCTGCTTGTCTTGGAAACAATAATTTAAAATAAACCATTTGCCGTTGCCACACAGGGTAAATTAAAAATATAATTTTATATACTTGTATAGAAATGGTAAATCAGTTAGTCAAATATTCATATTTTTCAGCATTAAAAATTTGGTTCCTAAAATTATTTAGTTTTATGTACCTATTTAAGTTATTTTTAAAGTGTCAACTAAATTAGTTATTTCTATATTTATTTAGAACTAATTTTGGGTTTAATTAAAATTAAATTAAATAACAATACCTTGATTCTTCGGAGATATGGAAAAGTGATTCTTCTCATCTCATAGAGCACATTTACATTAACTACCAAACAAACAAGACGCGAATAGAAGTATAAGATCTAGGTAATCCGAATACAGAATACCAATGGTACCTATACTACATAAAAAGACTATGGCGTTCCGCCAGCTTTTCATACATAACACTGCAAAACCAGATTAAAAGAGTAACTTAGACATACTTTACAATAAGAAATTAAATCATTTTGCATTAAATAACAAACAACACAAGAGTCCTTTAAAATTATAATGTTTAACATGCCCCGATAAACACAAATAAGAATTTATATGCACGCCACTGATTTCCATTGACGTCAATGCCTCGAGTTATAGTTTATGTCGTCTTCAAGATAGGGCAGCTGGTTATAACCTTTAATAAAAAAATGTACTGTGGTGGATTCAGTTTATAGAATATTTATGAATTAATTATTAAACAAATATATTTTAAAGGTTTTATATGCTAATTAATTTCACACAAAAATGTTAATGTTAATAATAGAAGTAATTTTATTAACTCTCCTAAAAAAATAGTTTTCTTTTTTATTAGAATAAAAAATTATTAACAAAAAAAATCATGTTAGTAATGGCGTAACACTACAACATTTTTTTTTCATTTTTGTTTTTAAAAAAATTTAAAATAAACTGTAAGCAAATACAATATTTTTATTATCAAAACCGCAATTTGCGTCAATCCATCAGGCATAACAATATCAGGAAATGCCATTTATTTACTTGGTTTTAATTTTAAACGCGGTTGTGGTTATCATTAAATATGGGCCTGGGTATAACTTATCATTTTTTTTACCTCCTAGTCGGTAAAAACTCCGTTTGGACCCTTAAAAAAATTCGACTACTGTCGGATCTAATCTAACTTCACTTTCTTGCTTTATGTAGGTATTGTAAATAATATTATGCCTTGAAGATAAAAGATGCATGCCATGCAGCTGAGAAGTGTCTTTTGGGCTTCCGCTACGCGTCGGCATTGAAACTTTGAGCTTAGCACACAAGACTCAATATTTGATTAAAAGGTTTAATAACTATGTTTTAGGTGCTTCGAATAAGCAACATTTATTTTGCTTTTGATAATGTAGTAATTAGTTATTAATTACATTTAATTAAAAAAAAGAGCCCTTAAAATTTATTTTAAAAGGTAACAATGATTTTGATTTTCTCATTATTTTTTTTGTAGGAAATTTTATTTTTAACAAAATGATCCTTATGACCTAAATAAAAAATACCTAATATGACAAAAACAAAATATTTGATAGTTTATTTCGCTCTCATTTGAAAACGTTGCCGAGATATCTCTACGCACAAAAATGTTTAAATACACTAATATTACAATCTAGTTAGAAGTAAAAGTTACTTTTTAATGTTAAGTTAACCTAAAAATGTTTGCAAAATAACAAATGCGTAGGTATTAAATTAACTTAGCTTTTGTTTTTTAAATTTACATTTAAATGTTACTCAAACGACCAGCCCCCAAATAATATTTAACTGTCTTATATGCCCACCCTTATCTATTTACATTAATATAATCGATAAATTAAAAATAATACCTAACGAATTTTTTTTAAATTTTTAGCAGTTTAATGCTAAAATATCGATTTTTATAATAATTATTTCCTACTTGATAAAGTATAATTCAGTGCAAACATAATATGTTGGCAAAAATTTACGTGCAAGTAAATAAACAAACCTATTAATAGTCGACCTTAGTTTTTTATGTTTACTAATTAAGACTTAAAAAAGTTTTTAAAAATAGAAATAACAGACGTTTT